ATGGTTGACTGATTAGAAAAGTGTTTTTTTTATTTAATTTAACTTTTATTTAATTTACAGAAGCAATCCCCTCTGAGCTTTGATAAAATTCAAATACCTGAGATTTGATGTTTGTGGTCCAGACTATATTAAACTTGTGATGAAACTCATGAAATGTTTTAACCATAATAGGAAAAACTATATTGGATTAAGCGGGCATTTTGCCCACCTAAGTCCCATCAGAAACCCATCTGGGTAAACACACCTGGGGCCACCATAGAAACTGAGAACAAAATTAGTTGGGTTACCCAAATGGGCCCCAAATATTAGCCCAGCCTCCGTTTGGGCCCCACATGTGTGCGCTGGCTGGGAGACGAGTTATTCAATCAACACAGTCAACACGGTGGGGGTAGTGTGATGGTCGGGGTCAGATTTGCTGCTTCATGATCTTTGTTCAAACTGAGGTTTTTTAGATAAAGTCAAATATTTGTTATTCCTTTTCTGCAGGAGAAAGTTGCAGCTTTTTTTCCTTCTGTGTTCCTTCAAAATGTAAATAATGAGTCATTTTATTAAATTTTTTAACCTGTCTTGAAAATAATCTCAAATGTGAAGTTTTGTTGCTTATTTAAGTATTTGTGGTTGATAAATCGAGCTGTAATATAAGATTAAATGTTGTGGTTTTGGTTCAAACCAGAAACTGGAACTTTTTCTAACAGAAATGATAAATATGAGTTGTTCTGATATGTTTGAGAAGTAAAAGTGATGCAATAGAGCAGCTGTGTGTTAAATGATCATGTTTAACCGTTGCACAGAGGGGTTGGCAGCTCTGTGGATCAGTTCTGGGAGGTCATCATATCTTTTACTGGAACCCAGCTGGAAGTGAAAATAGAAGTAGAAAGCTACAGTTTACCTGAGAGAATAAACTGTGGCTGTGAATAATAAGAGATAAGAAGTATAATTTTCATTGTCATATACTGAAATCTTTGGGCCAACTTTCTGGTTCTGTGTATAAAGACCGGGTCTTGAACTGGTCCTGCAGCTCCACTCAGGAAAGCTGGGGCTGAAGAAGGTAATCCTGCCGTCGCTTCATTAACACTCATTTCTGACTTTTTGTTTTTCTTGAAGAGTTTGTTTCATCATGAAGATCCTAATTCTGCTGTTTCTTTCTGCCTTGTTGGCTTTGAGTCAGGCTTCAGGTGAGTACTGAGTGTGTACTTTTGTTTTCTGAACATAAAGTGTTGGTGGACACTTATTATTTTGATCCCAGATGACTTGTTTATTAGATTCATTAATCAGAGAACTCCTCAGCTGTTTTTTAAATGTTGACGTTGAACTCGTGTTCTTCTTAAACTCACTGGAAGGTGTTCATTTAATACATTTATTGGAAGCTTTTCCAGACTACAAAGAAGAACCTGAGAATAAGGAGACAGTTTTAAAAGGTGAGGTCATGTTTCTTCACATTTATAACTTGATTGTTTGTAAAACGTGAAGTAAACAAAGTGAACTGTGTCAATAGCTCTTCATGAAGCAGAACGTCTGAACTGGACCCATACAGCCAGTACGCTTTATTTACTTCATATACTGTACTTAGTNACCATTAGAAGAAGCAGCTTGAAACGTCTAACCGTGAGAGCAGGTCCAACAAGAGAAGAGAAGTGCTCCCTCTGGTGGTTCACTGAAGGAACTACAGATCAGCAGGTGTCATTACAGGTTGATATGATGTGGGACACCTCTGGTCCACAGAGATCTGGTCTTTAGTTGTCTTGAGGTCCAGCCTGGTCCACAGAGGAGATCTGGTCTTTAGTTGTCTTGAGGTCCAGCCTGGTCCACAGAGGTAACTTCTGAGGGTTTGCTTTTGTGTCTCCCAGTAGTTATCATCTGTTAAAACAAAAATAAATTAATTTAATTCAATATTTATGATTTATGTCATGAGCCTCAGGTTGATCTAACCTTCAGTCCCATGCACTCACCCATCACTGTCAGGTAAAGTTGTTAAAATCATACAAACTTGACATATTTTATTGTTATTTCCTGTTCAGAATATAAATATCAGGCAATGATTACTGTCAATTAAATCATAAATCTACTGAACAAACAGGTTTTCTATACATAAATATTATTTATTATCCTAAACTGGTTGACTGAGGGACTATGTCTCTCGGCTGGCCTGGGAACACCTTGGAGTTCCCCCGGAGG